AGTCACTAAATTCATTACTGAAAGCAAAAAATGTGTCGAGAACAGCTAAACTGCGAGTCTACGAGACAGTAATCAGACCCACAGTGATGTATGCCAGTGAAACGTGGATTATGAACCAGCAGGAAGAAAAGGAAGTAGAGATCTGAGAAAGAGAGGTGCATAAAGATGTCAGAGAATATTTTGAGAAGACGAACGAATAAAAAAATAATGAGGATGTATAGAAAACGAGCACTTATTGCAAAAATACGAGCCCAAAGAGCTGGATGGCTTGGTCACATTATACGAATGCCAGAGAATTGAAATGTTAAAATAATACTGAAGGAGGGAAAATGGGAAAAAAAGAAAAGGACGCCCAAAGAAGAATGGTTGAAAGCAGTAAAGCAAGACTTGTCAGTAATAGGCGTGAGAAATTGGAGAGAGAAAGCAAGGGACCGAAAAAACTTGAGGGAGATAACCAAGTTTTTAGAAGCCAGGGGCCTACAAGGTCTGTAGCGCTGTTCCTGTAGGCTGAAAGATCAGTTTAACCACAGTGGTTCAAAATGGGAAAAAAAGAAAAGGACGCCCAAAGAAGAATGGTTGAAAGCAGTAAAGCAAGACTTGTCAGTAATAGGCGTGAGAAATTGGAGAGAGAAAGCAAGGGACCGAAAAAACTTGAGGGAGATAACCAAGTTTTTAGAAGCCAGGGGCCTACAAGGTCTGTAGCGCTGTTCCTGTAGGCTGAAAGATCAGTTTAACCACAGTGGTTCAGCCACTGTGCTTAAACTGTATTCGATATAAAGAAAATTAGCAATATCGAACATTTTTTAAATTTTGACAATTAATAAAAAAATGTGGCAGCAATAGATCATTTTTATTGTGCTCCTTTGTAATTATACAGTGACATGAACTACGATTTTTATAGAAAATTGGTTATAACTTTGTAAATACCATGTATAACATAATAAAACTTTATATTTTCGTGATAGAAAAGTGAAGAAGATTTCAAATATAAAAAAATACAGGGTATTTCATTAAAAAAAAAACATAAGTTTGGTCTACCACTATGCTATTGAACGGCCTGTATCATTCTTACTAATTTTGTAATGTGAACCTCTGTGTGAAGTTGTCTAAAATTTTTTAGCTTGAAGTCCTAACTGTTTGCGAGGACTTTTCAAATTTATACTCTCCCTGCTAGCACTAGCTTCTTCCATTTTTATTGAAGTAAACAATATTTAATAAAAGCATTATATCGGTAAATGCAAAGGCACCTGTACTGCCCTGCTTAGGAAGAAAGCCTTAACTCCAATTTACTTGAAACGGAGATATTCAATAAAACGTGAAATATACTTTTTCACAACCTTTTTTCTCTAAAATGTACGTTTAAAGGCCTTAATAATTTAATAAAAATAAATAAAAAACAAGTTTTGTTAAAAAAAATTGTTTTTGGCTTTTTTTGGGCATAAAAATGGCACTTAAGGCCTTGTTACCTCCAAACAGTAGTGCAAACCGTAACATAAAAACCTTAACTCCCATGGTGGCTCAATATGTATTTTACTTTAAAAACTAAAAAAACATTTAGGGTTTAAAAAAGGTAAACACCCAGGAGTTTTTGCAAAATTTATTCATAGAATGTTACTCAAAATATACTTAGAGACGGACTATTTAAGAAAGAACACATTTTACTATTTTTAATTGAAATCTAAAACTACATTTATTAGTCTTGTTTGAAAATGTTTGTTATAATATAATGCTTACTTAAAAAGTTAAATAGTGCTTATTTGCTAATTGAAATATACACAAACGTATTTCAACAAAAAAAATCATAATATTTAGCTTGAGTTAGAGTGAAACTATTGTAATTAGGCCTATAAAATTCAAGGTATGCTACATTAAAAATACAGGATTATAAGTTATTAGAATAAAACAACTTTAGCAAGAATTTATGTCAACATTAAAAATGAATAAAATTTTGAGACCTGTATCTATAAATATAACAATGCGTTCATAAAAAGTTTAAGCCAAAACAAAAAAATATGTTTTACAGTTAGGAACACACACACCCTTTTCTCAACTAGGGATGTCGTCTGAAACACACAAGTCTGGAACATCACTTTCAGGCAAGTCCAACCAAAAACGTTTCCTATTTTCAGGCATCAAGGGAAGCAGTTTTGTAATAATATCTTGTTTCTTCGCCGAGCAGATGCCTCGAGGTGCAGTTCGGAAAATAGGGGGGCTCTTCGCCTTTTCAGCTCCCTTTTTGGTCATAAAGTCTAGTTCCTGAAGGGGGCAATATTCATCGTAGCAAAGTCTGTACAACAATGTATCTTTACCACGTTCGGCTTTGATGTACACTAAATCATTCAGGTAGGGTCGATTCACAAATTTATTCAGCTTGTAGTTAGAGACACAAGAAGGCCATACTGCAAACTCTTCATGCTGCATTGATTTGACCACTGTTTTCTCAGAACAAGTTGCTCCAACAGCATTCTCAAAGTCTGAAAAGTCATATACTTTGCCATGGCGACTGAGAGACAACTCTCCTTGATGGTGAAAAGAATCAGCCGACATAAATGTGTGCCCTGGCTCAAAAAAGTACAATTCAATGGTTTGAGTGGCTGACTCCGAAGAGTTAATAATGTGAACAAGGTAGGTCATCAGTCACCAATTCTTGTTTTGTGCGGAGCAGTTGTCAAGCCAGAGTGTTATGAGGGGAACATCTCTGAAATATTTGAAAAATGTATCAAAGGAACTAATTATGTCCTTCTTTCGTCCACATATGGCCTCATGCCATATTACTGCAATTGGCCTACCATTTTTGCAGTTAGTGCCAAGGGGCACAAAACTTTCATTAAATGCAACTATGCGTTTAGTAAAAACAGTAGTTTTTAAACCTTCCATCCTAGGCAACATAATAACTTTTTGCAAGTCACATGAATAATATATGTGATCTTTATCTATATTAGTGTTTGCATGGGTTTTGTAGAGGTTTCTTGCATCATTACTTCTTGCAATATGATCAGGCCACTCGTTGCAAGTACTACATTCGGAGTTTAAATTGTCTTTGCTGTGGTCAGTGTTATGGTTAATAAAGACTTCACAAGTTTCACATTCTTCGTTTCCCAATTTGGTAAACGATATATTCATTTCTTTTAAAATAGACCTATACAAATCATAGGAGCATTTCAAGTTCGGATGTGTGGCCACAAAGTTTTGATGCATGTTATTTATGGTGATATCACTAGGGAGGTAGCGCCTCAGTGGAGCGTGTTTTCTGCGGTAGTGTGCAATGGATGGGTTGTATGACTCTATATGTGCTTTTACAACTTCTCGGTAATTTTTGTTGGCGGAGTACATTTCTCTCGACCATCAGGAGCAATATTTGTTGGATCTTTTTTAACACACAAGACATTGTGAAGAACTGTGTCGTTGTTTTTAGAGTAGCCTAAAGTAGTCAAAAAAAAATGTCTTACACACCTGGACATTTTCTTCATTTTGGTTTGTTAGATAATACTTGAATGAAAACTTTCTTGACGAACTTTCACTGCCTCTTCGCCTCTTAACTCCATGCCTAGTTGTCGAAATCAACATAAAGTTTCTTCTATCTAGCCAACTTTTTGCGCAATACACAGAATTGATTTGTTTTCTTCTTAATTCTGGAATATTTTCAATGCATTTAAGTCTACAAGCTTGGCAAGGAGGATACAAGTCATGTTTTTAAATATATTTATCTTTTTTATGTTCATGTTTTTCTTGTTTGCTTAAAACTGACTTTTTTCTAATTCTTGGTGTCCCTTTTTTAGTTACCTTTCGAGTGTCTTCCGGTTGTATATTTTCAGCAGGTTGGTCTTCGCTTTCTGGCAATAAGTTAATAGGCTGAACAAACCCTACGCCTAGGCCATCCTGAACGTCGAGGTCATGGGAACCTGAATTATTGTCGAAATTAGTAAGTTGAACTGGTGAAATCTGAGTTAAAACATAACTGTTGTCGTGCTCCTCACTATTATTACAATCAAAGTTAACAACAGGAGTAGTTGTTGAAGTTGACATAATAGCTGCTAGCGGCAACGGATCGTCAGGATCATCTTCGTTTCGATTTTTCACATCCTTCAATAATAAACTCAAAATATAACTTGATCTTGAACTACACATGTCCAATGTCACATTGTAAATTAATTTATGTCACAAGTTACTAAAAAAAGCGTAAAACTTTCATACAACCCACGACACCATAACAAAACACTCTTCTTAAATTGAGGTTAGTAACTAAGTAATCACTGTCAATATACCTAAATGGAGGGAAACAGCTGAGCATAAGAAACACCTGTTAGTTTTAGTGAAAAACAGCATCAAAAGCCACTTGTAAAGAAACTCATCAGAGAAAAGAAAACCTTAACTCCACTGGCAAGTGGATATAAGGCTTTCTTTTATCTGATGTAAGTTAAGGCGTGGTTCCAATTTCTCTTGCAATAATAGAAATTTGAAGTAAAAAAGCCTTAAGTCAAAAACGACTGTACTTGAGGCTTTCTTTATTCAAAAGTTGCAGTTGAGGCTTTCTTCACTAGAATGGCAGACAATTTAGGACATAAGGCATATTTCATTAGCGTTTTTCTCATTGAAGAAGTGGAGCTACCGCTTTCTAACCTCAAAAATAGGTAGAAAACCACCTATAAAACCCTAATATGACCTTAACTCAATTTTTATTTTTTTTGAATTAAGGTCTTTTTTTCTAGTAGGTCAGTGTATACTTCTAACACACAATGTACTTATAACTCTGAGAAAACTAAATATTGACAATATACGCATCCTTTCTCTGACACGCTTCTTGGTGAAGTGACAGCTAAACGATACGATGTATGTAAGTGATCACGCGTATGACTCATTTCATTTGCTGGACTATAGTATTTTCATGGTTTCAAACAGCGAAACGTTATTATAAAGAATGATCTCTGTTATTTCTGGAATACCTCAGAAGTTTTTGTATAATGTTTTAACTACTTTTTAAACATAGTTTTTTGTTTCAGAGGATGGACACGTATTATCATTGAGAAACCATTCGGGCGCGATCTTGAAACATCTAATAAGCTTTCCTCACATTTGAGCCAACTATTCACAGAACAACAATTATACAGAATAGACCACTATTTGGGCAAAGAGATGGTACAAAATTTAATGACACTCCGATTTGGTAACAGAATCTTTAACCCCACATGGAACAGTGACCACATAGCTTCCATCCAAATAAACTGTAAGGAACCCTTCGGAACTCAAGGCAGAGGAGGGTATTTTGACGAATTCGGCATTATTAGGGATGTAATGCAGAATCATATTTTACAAATTCTAGCGCTCGTCGCTATGGAAAAACCAGCTTCAGTTCAACCAGACGATATCAGAAATGAAAAGGTAAGGTTTACTTTATTTAGTACTATTGTATGAAGCGTATAAAAGCAAAACCAGACATTTGACATATTTTTAAAAAATGAGTTATATATGGATTCCATATGTAAAAATTGATAGGAATCCGTTTTTCTGGCCCTTATGTTCATAGACATTTGAATGGCATTATTCAGTTGAAATTTAGCCTTAGATGCAAAAGCAGACATTTGTTTACACTTGTTAGGTGCAGAGGCAGATATTTGCCTTTAAACCAATCCGGATGCGACTTCTTAGTCACGTGCTGTCGTGTTTGCGCTGTTTCGTATTGTCACTCAATACTTTGTACTCACATTAAGACCAAACGAGGTAAACATACGTTATGAATTAGTGCTCATGAAAACAAACAATAGCTAAATAAACATTATTATTGAACCAAGTCCATCCAAGGGCGAAAACCATTGGTAAATAAGGATCAGTGGAAACGAGAAATAGCAAAAAAAACAAAGATATGTTCACATTGAAGTTTTTGTTTAACAACTGATCGGATTATATCATTTTACTTTCTTAGGTATTCTCGGCGGTGCCTTCCTGAATTTCCCAGGTGTGCTCATAACACTAAAGTTCATCAATGTTCTTCGTTGACAATGACCGATATCAGAAAATTCAATGAAAGCTTTTATAGCCTATCTAAATCCTATCAAGACATGTTTGTATTGAAGCACTGTGTGACAAATAATCCAAAAAGACCTGGTACGAATATTTAAAAAAATGATAAGAAAAGATAGGAAAGTATTGAAAGGATATGAGAGGAGTATCATAAAACAGGAGTTTTGCCAGCAAAAAGAAGAGGAGGTGACAGAACTTCACAAAAATAAATGTGTAAAAAGCAAACTATAACACATTTCATTGAATCTATTACTTGCTGCGAAACCCATTATGCCAGGAATAAAACAGTTGTTAGACGATATTTGCCTTGTTAACTAAATATATTGAACCTGTGGAAGACGTATAATTCTACAACGGAGGGACATCTAAAAGTAAGACAGTGCTTCTTCAGAAATATTTTTGTACGACAATACAACACTGGTTTTAGATCACCAAAAGTTGTATGTTCACAATGTCTCCAATTTTCAGAAAAAATGAAAAATATCACAAACGCACATGAAAAAATAAAGATAATTACAGAACATCGCGTACACAAGCTGCGTAGTAAAGCGTTTTATGAGTTATTAAGAGAAGACAATCGCACAGTAGCAATATTTTCCTTTGATTGCCAAAATAATCTACCACTACCAACGATTCTAGACCAGGCCTGCTATTGTAGTATGCAAATAAATTTGTACAATTTTACAGTTGTAACTGGAAATTCCCCACTTAATCCTGAATCAGTAAAATCGTTTATGTGGACAGAGAATGATCGCCAGAGGACTTCAAATGAGATTGTTTTCGCTGTTTATTACACATTGACAAACTTTCGTTTTGATGAAGGGGTAGAGAAAGTGCGTTTAGTGGCTGACAGTTGTGGAGGCCAGAATAAGAATATCACAATGGTTGGAATGGTTCAATACTGGCTACAATGCTGTGCTCCACATCTTATAAAGTATATAGAACTCATATATCCCATAGTATATCCCCACTCGTATACTGACATCATTCTTTCCTTCCCCCTGATCGAGTATTTGCTCAAATTGAAAAGTTAAAAAATGTGCCAGCATAATTGATCCAAAAACATATATTAATTTTATTAAAGATTATTCTACAGTGCTGAAGATGGGAGAAGATTACACAGTTTTTGACTGGAAAGGTGAGGTGCAAGAAGTTCTTAAAAGTCCTGGATCCTGGCATTTTCGTTGTCAACCATCTAAACGATTATTATTTTCAAAAGAACAAGAAAAGGTGTGTTTATGTCACAGGCGAACCGTTTTATAAAAATGTGCTTTCCAAACCCAAGAGCATCTGCAAGAAAGTTACCAGATAAAATAAAAAGCATATCAACGTTGTTAACGAAACACTATGGGGTGAATTGGGCGGCTGATAACGTCTTCATTTCTTTACAAAAGCTTTTAACTATTTGGAAAACACTAACTAGGTAGAAAATCATCCTGAGGATACGGAAGATCATCCTGAAAGGTACAGAAGACGAAAATATCATTAATTCATCTGATACTGAAGATATTAACTACAAATTTAGTTTTTGTTTATATATTCAATAAAAGCAATATTTTTCAAATTTAGATTTATTTTATTATGACCCTTTTTTGTTAGTATTACATACGAGGCTATCAATGTTATAAAAAATACAAAATCAGTTGAGGTTCATTTACATGCATAAGCAGACATGTGCAACTCTTACGTGCAATACAAGACATGTCTAATTTTTAAACCAAAATATCTTTTTACTAACAAGTCTAATTTATGTTTTGATTAGTAGTAACTATATTTATCAAAGATATAAAATTTTTGTTAAAACACAATGTTAATTGGTGTCAAATTACGATTTTGGTAGGTTTTTTTCGATTTACTCAAAACAACTTATACAGGGTGGTGAATCGTCAAACGGGCCATAGGAAACTCAATGAGAAATTCTAAATTGTTGAATTCCTGCTTCCCTAATTATTTTACACCAAAAGTCATGGGAAACTATTTGTAGAGGACTCAAATATGTATCGAAAACAATTGTTAAAATTGTTCTACGACTTAAACGTATTTCAAAATTTTGCTAAAATATAATACATTTTCCAGGCCAACCCTAAAAGTCAGGCCAGACGCCGTGAAAAGAATGTGTATTACGTGTTGCGTTTTGTCATATTGACGTTTCTAATATTTGACAATATTTAAATCAACTATATTATATTTATCTATGATTTAAATGGCCAAAATTTTGTGATTTATTATTTAAAAGAAAAATTAAGTTGATTAAAAAATGTACTCAGTTAAGGAGAAAAGAGCAATAATAAAAATGTTTTATTCATGTTTTATTATAACATTTGTTATAGTTTTATGTTTAGAAATTATCTTATATTATTATTAGGAATAAAGATCACAGTAACAGTATATTGGAATTCATTGAACTGTTGTATAACTTAACTTAACATGGAATTAAATTTTAGTGTATTAGAATATCTTACGTTAAAGATCCGGTAGTGACAGGAAAAGGTTCACGCTATTGCCTGAATACAACATTATGCGATTTTTCGTCAACTGAGTACATTTCATTATATTGATCGATTTGTAAACAATATAATTTATTGTTCACAAAGTAATATTGTTCAGTAGTAGTAGTATTTAGTAAAATTCATTGTTTATAATTTAATCATATAATAAAAAAAATTGACAATTCAAATTGTCAAACATCTGACATCAAAATGATAAAACACACACGTTATAATATATTCTTGTATTACGTGTGGCCTAACTTTTAGGGTGGTCTGAAAAATCTATTATATTTTTGCAAAATTTTGAAGTACATTTGATTCGTAGAACGGTTTTAACATTTGTTTTTAATTTAGAATTTAGTCCTCTACAAATAGTTTTTTATGACTTTTGATCTAAAATAATTAGGGAAGCAGCAATTCAACAATTTAAAATTTCCCGTTGAGTTTCCTATGGGCCGTTTGACGATTCACCACCCGGTATGTCAAATGTCTGGTTTTCCATTTATATGCTTCACATGTAAACTATTTTAGAAATTAAAAAACAATTATTATCTATATTAATTAGTATTAAGTGGATCAGTTAAAATTAACCAAGCAGTTTCATTCAAAAACTTTGAATCTTTCACCCTTCTTAACTATTTTTTCTTCTCCAAGTGGACCGACCTCTTTGATATTTACTTTTCTTCCGGTTCTAGAATTTAAGTCGCCTAGTAGAATTACTTCCTTCTTAATTCCAATACTCTCTACCAAGTCCGTCAGCAAAATTACCTCATCCTTTTCATATTAAGTCGTTAAATATAATATAAAGACGGTACTAGATTTTTGTTTCGATACAGAGCGGCGGCAAGCCGCTTATACGTATTTCGGCCACTCAGGTGTAGCCAATACTCTTTGCTATACCGAGTATTCCCAGAGTAGTGGTTATATCGCTCTGAGGAGACCTAAAGAGGTCGAAATACGTATAAGCGGCTTGCCGCCGCTCTGTATCGAAACAAAAATATAGTACCGTCTTTATATTTTATTTCTTTACTCCGTTTGGACTACCAGAAATTAAATTTACTACGAAGTTTGACCATGCTGAACGGCATGTGGAATGCAATCTTAGATTCCCTTGCCGAGTAATTTTTCAAGCTGTTTGCTTTGCAAGTTTTAGAAAGCACAGTGGTGAAAATTTGAATTCGATTTCGCCAGGTAGAAATCGTTATGATTTCTCTTTTTGTTAAGTCGTTAAACTTTAGCGTTATGCGATTCCATGGCCTCATTAACTAACGATTTTTCTCGATAGCGCTCTATATTTATAGACTAGGCGGCATCTGTAGAAATTCAGACCATAATGGAAATTTTCGAGGGAAGCTATTTTTTTGCTGGAATCCCTTCAGGATATGCCCAGTATCGATAATCACGATATGCGCCAGTCGCAAACCCTGTGCTAAATTTTTTATTTAACAAAATCTGAAAACAATTGAAAATTTCTCATTTTTTTGCTCCTATTTTCATTTATAATTCGAAAAATATTGATCTTAAAGAAAAAATTATAAGTGGTTAAAAGTTTCGTTATTAAATTTTACATAATATTTTGTTAGCTAGAAATTGAAAATTTAATGGTTATTGTTGAAAAAATAGCAATAATTGGAAAAAAAAGTACAAAAAAATGAAGTTAATCCTTTAAATGTTTTCGACTTTCTAAACTTGACTTACAAGTTCCATATTCCGCCTAGAAAAACTTTTTAATATGTTTAAAACGTGTGCTAAATTTTGTTAAGATCGGTCGGATAGGTTTTGCATAATAATTTTGCAATCCAGCCTACTGGAAAAAAATCGCAAATTTTCAAATTCATAGTAGGCCCTAAATAAGGCCTTGAGATAGTTGCA